TTGATATTAAAATAAAAGGCCAGATAAGATAGGTACACAAATACCCATTCTTAACCTGTGTACCTTATTTATCTGGTGCTCATTTCCCCTCTTTCTAATTCCCTATGGTCCAGTTCAGATTCTAAATACCCACAAATTTTCCCTCACATTTCCTGCTCAGATTCTGACCTAATTTTGCCGACTTGTGCTTCTTAGCACTTACCTGATCTTCCAGTTTTAAATGTGTGGGTCCTTTCTCAGGTTATATCAGAAGTTACAAACTCAAAATCTGTTGAGGCCAGGCAGCTGATGGAAATAAGTGATGTTGGGTAGGTATTGTGGCACATTGGAGATTAAAGATTATATGGCTCTTACCAAAGGCGACATTTGCTACTAAAACTCCAGGCTATTATTGGTTGATTACAGTTGTAGTTTGCTTAATCATTAGTTTTTTTTATGAGAGGCCCCAAATCTATTTTTCTGCCATAGCCCTGTTTTAAATGTTATCAGCTAGTTTGAGCTAATGTATACATACACACACAAACATTTCTATATACATGCATACTTAGGTATATGTGAAATATGCCATATTTATAACAGGTCAAACAAAGAATTGTCTGCCAGTCGTATCCAGCCTTTTGTGATTGCTTCCTTTTTGCAACCTCTTAATTAAATGACAGATTCTACGAAGAATCTTCCCTTCCATGGCTTGCTTTTGTTGTGAGAATTCATGAAACATGATTTTAAGTTAGAAGTTACTTCTAAAGTACCTTGATCATTCAGCCTGTGCTTAAAAAACACTAGGGGCACCTGGGTGGCCCAGTGGGTTAAGAGTCTGATTTCAGCTCAGGTCATGATCTCATGGTTCGTGAGTTCGAGCCCTGCGTCTGGCTCACTACTGTCAGTCTGTTGGCACAGAATCTGCTTTGGATCCTCATCTCCCTCTCTCTTCCCCTCCCCCTCTTATGTTCTCTCTCTTAAAAACAAAACACAACATAAAAAACACTTAAGTGGTGATTGTCATTAATTTAGAAAATGAGTACAGTTTACCCTTGAACAAGCGTTTTAACTGCACATGTCCACTTACATGTGGCAGTATTTCAATAAATATGAGAGAGTACTGTAAATGTATTTTCTGTTATGACTTTAACATTTTCTTTTCCTTAGCTCACTTTACTGTAAGGATGCAGTAAGTATGGGCGCCTGGGGGACTGAGTCGGTTAAGCATCTGACTCTTGATTTTGGCTCAGGTCATGGTCTCACGGTTTGGTTAGTAAGATTGAGTCCTGAGTCGGGCTCTGCATTGGCAGCACAGAGCCTGCTTGGGATTCTCTCTTTCCCTGCCCCTCCTTTGTGTGTGTGCATGTGCTCTTTAGCTCTCTCTCTCAAATAAACATTTTAAAAAAAGAATGCAGTACATGATACATATAACATACAAAATATGTGTTAAACAACTGTTTGTTATTGGTAAGGCTTCCAGTCAATAGTGGGTTAGTAAGTACTTAAGTTTTGGGGGAGTCAAAAGTTAGAACACCTACTGCATTATTTAAAGGTCAACTGTATGTTTCAGACCCTATGTTAGGTTCTGGGATAGTAAACAAATGATACTGTCCATTACCCAGACAAGTTCATTGTGTATTGGGGAGAGTTTGAGATGTCAGAAGGTGAGCTCCTTGGGCAGCAGACTCTGAACTGGAGGTAGTCCTGCATGAGTTTTATTAGACAGTGCTCTTAGGATCAGCACATTGGGAGAGAAGAGGAAATTGAGTTGTGATACGATCTTAATGAAGGACTCAACCAATCCTGTGGAGAATGTGAAGCCAGGAAGAGCCTTTAAAGTTACCCTTAGTTGGAGTGAAGAGGCCTGATTTTGCATATGGGCTAGTCCTAGGAAGAGGATATGACATTGGGTAAGGTAGCTCTTCAGCAGAGGCAGTTCTGAACAGGACTGACAACTGAGGGTTATCTTTCCGTAGTACTTCTCAGCAGCTGGGACAACAAATCCTTCGGTCTTGAACGGAGATCTGTGTAGTTGGTATTATAACAGTGTCCGCTATAGTCAGAGTCAACATGGATACTTGTAAACAAATCATTATGAGCTGTGTAAGCTCAGCAGAATGACTAATTGTTAGAGGAAGTTAGGAAAGGCTTATAGAAGAGATGACATTTGAGCTAGGTTTTGAAGAATGAATTAGGTTGTTTGGAAGGAGTAAGTGTAAGGAAGGGGGCATCTTTCATTGAGTCCCTGAGATTTCATAACATAGGCAGGAAAATGATTTATTTGAAGGGCAGAGAGGTAAACTATTCAGTTTCTGCCAATTGTAATGAAAATCATGAGGTCATTTGCAAAAATCTTGGTTTGTTTCCATGGTGATAATTTAAAAAAAACCAATTTAAGTCCCAGTATGATCAGGTTTGAGATTAAGCCAAGCTAATTGTGCCCAGAACCAAAAAGATAGGCTGAGCTTGAGTGAGAAGCTTTTATTCTAGGAATCCAAATTGGATTTTGGTTCCAGCATTGTCTCTCATCCTTGAGTCAAAAAGATAGGCTGAGCTTGAATGAGAAGCTTTTATTCTAGGAGTCTAAATTAGATTTTGTTACCGGCATTGCCCCTCATTCTTGAGTCTGGAACAGATGAATTTCCTTAACACTGAACACGTTATTGTTTATTGCTTAGTATGTTCTCTCCTAGGATTGAGGGTATCTATGGGGAGTCAGAAGATAGGTTAAACTGAGGTTTTTCCACTTACTACTTCTTTGACCTTGGGAAATTTGGTAAACACTTGATCCTGTTTTTTTCATCCTGAAAGTACAGGTAGTGATACATAATACCATCATATTAGGATTGTTGAGATAATATATAAGAGCCTATATACTGTTAGGTGTTTTCCAGGGTATTTTATTGCTACTTAAAATCCCTTTGTGAAATATATGTGTGAGGTTAGGTTTTTGTTAGGATAAGATTATTAAAAACAAATTTTGATTGTTTTGGAGCTGTGGGTTTGGTCTGTAGAATTCAGTACTGTGAAACCCAAATTAACATTAAAATCTTCAACATAAGGATGAATGTCACAGAGGAAAACTATTACTTGGCTTTTAAATCCGGACATGTCTGCTCTGTAGATGTCAGATTTACATGAACAACAGATTTCTGATTGTGGGGGTGAATAAGAAAATGGATGGCAAAATTATTGTAATAACTTTATTACAGTTCACAGTTTTTTGCTGTGCTGATGATGGGTCAAAAAATTTATTCAACAGATACAGTAAAGTGAGTGTATAGGGGCTCTGACTCAAGACAGCAGTATGAGAGGGATTGTGGTCAAAATGGAACTGTCCAGACGTCTAACCCCTGGCACAACTGTCAATTCTGAATGCACTGTTATAAAACAAATGTATAGATAGATAGACCCATAGCCAGGTCTAGACTTCTGCTAAGCTTCCAAGAATATTTTCCCTGGAAAGGAGAGTTACCAGTTAATAGGCTGAAGGCCCAGTCCGTCACTTTGTGACATCTGTTAAATTGAGAAGAGAGGAAACTTCAAGCAGATCTCGTTACTGAAAGAGAAATGATGATTACATGAAATATAGTCTCTAGTTCCACGAGAATGCATTAGAGTCACTTGAACCTTTCAAAATACAAATGTCTACATCCTAACCCTGGACATTTTGGTCCTCATTTCTAGAATAGGGCCTGGGGGGTTTTATTTTGAAAAGCTTGTCAGCTAATTCTGATGTGGCTCTCTTGAACCACTGGTTCACTGAGCTTTGTTTAATTAGAGTTATTAAATTCATGGATGTGGATAAAGAATTAAGTGTTGGAATTTTTTTTTGTAGGAGAGTTTAGGGGACAGAATGTTGATTTCTGTAAAACCATTAGGTATTTAGGGACAGCTTTATCTTTTCCAATGTTGCACAGAATGTTTCGGTTGTTGGAATAGCTGGAAGTACTAAAGGGACACTGGAACATTGTGGGGAGTGCTTCCAAATGTTGTATTTAATTCTATTATATGAATGAGGCATGATTTTACTAGAAGAAAAAGCTGTTCCATCATGTGTATATAATAGAAAAATCATCCTACCTGTCACAGAATCCAGATAAGCACGATTGGCTGTTTTTGAGTTTTTATATTAAAAGTACATAGTTTACTCAGTATTTTCTTGTCTGCTGATATGTAAGTGGTAGCAGATACCTTAAGTTTAAGGAAAATTTATGAGGGGGACAGTGTTTACTTTGGAATAAACTATACCTTTAACTTGTTTTTTGGTCAAATCTAGGGGAGAGCAAACTTCTCTTTTGTACTTGTTGAAACACTTTGGTCCAACTCATTAAGTACATAGTTTAGATACTGCAGGGGAATCATTCATATGAGGTGGGGAGGGTTTCACCAAAGATTTTCTGTAATGTTTCCAAAGATAGAAAAGTAGGGGACCATAAAGAATGGTCTTAAGAAGTAAGATTCAAAGAGAATGTCAGAGCACCAGACTCTGTGGCATTTGGAGATGGGGGGAGGGGTATGCATAGTTTAAGGAACATTTAATATTGTAACATTTTATATACCAAAAAAAAAAATAATAATAATAATGATAAGGCAAAAAACCTTTTTGCAATGCAAACTATAGAAAATAAAGCCTGACAAAAATTTTAATTTCTCAAGTGATTGTAATAGCAGAATATCATTGTAATTTTTAATGGATATTGTGCATAACCTCCTAGATCTGGCATAGTGGACCTGAATCCTTCATTAAAAGGGAGCTTTAAAAAGAAAGTTAAAAAACATGGTTTTAAAGGGATGGTTGATTATTGGTGGGATCTGAAGTTTAATCTCACATTATGGTACTGATAATTCAGCTCAATTTTAGAAGATCTTTTATCATTATAGAGTTTTAGGATATTGAATGAGATTAAAGATTATGTTATAGTTTGAATGGGCCTCAACTTGTAAAATGTCATATTTTTTGAAAGAATTAATTCTGTGGTCTTTAAAAAGTAATATTTTTTTCTTCTTTCAGCTATCTGAAGCAAAGACTCATTTTGAAGATGTTTAATAAGTCATTTGGAACGCCCTTTGGGGGTGGCACTGGTGGCTTTGGCACAACTTCAACATTTGGGCAGAGTAAGTTTTACAAAAGAACAAAAGAGGGGGAAAATATTAAGCTATTAAGAACAAATCCATTCTGATGGCTGAAATAAAAAACACAAGATATAACAAATGTTGGCGAGGATATGGAGTAAAAGGAACCCTCGTGCACTGTTGGTGGTAATGCAAAATGGTGCAGCCACTGTGGAAAACAGTAGGAAGTTCCTCAAAAAATTACAAGTAAAATTACCTTAAGATCCAGTAATTCCACTGCTGGATGTTCACCCAAAGAAAACCAAAACACCAATTTGAAAAGATATATGTACCCCTATGTTTATTGCAGTGTTATTTACGATAGCAAAGATACAGAAACAACCCAGTGTACATCAATAAATGAATGGATAAAGAAGATGTGGTGTATATATACAATGGAAATTTAGTCATAAAGAATGAGATCTTGCCATTTGCAACAACATGGATGGACCTAGAGGTATAATGCTAAGTGAAATAAGTCAGGGAGAGACAAATACCATATGATTTCACTCATACGTGGAATTTAAGAAACAAAACAAATGAACAAAGGAAAAAGGGACAAAAGAACAGACTATTAAATACAGGGTCTGAAACGAATGAAAGTCTGAAACTAGGGTAACACTGTGTGTTAATTATACGTGAATAAATACATTTTTTTAAAAGAACAAATCCATTCTGATAGCTTTAGACAGGAATTTTATTCATACTTTGGTTTTCACAACAACTTTTCTTTGAAAAATGACCAGATAGGGGTGCCTGGGTGGCTCAGTCGGTTAAGTGTCCAACTTCAGCTCGGGTCATGATCTCCTAGTTTGTGGGTTCAAGCCCCACATTGGGCTCTCTGCTGTTAGGACAGAGCCTGCTTTGGATCCTCTGTCTCCCTCTCTCTCTGCCCCTCCCCTGCACACTCTCTCTCAAAAATAAATAAACATTAAAAAAAAGAAATAAAGATGCCCACCATCACTACTTCTATTTTAAAAAAGACTGAGGGGCGCCTGGGTGGCTCAGTTGGTTGAGCATCAGACTCTTGGTTTCCACTGAGGTCATGATCTACAGTTTGTGAGTTTGAGCCCCAATATATTGGGATATTCTCTTGCACTCTCTCTGCCCTTACCCTGCTTGCTCACTCTCTCTCACTCTCAAACTTAAAAAAAAATTTTTTTAAATGATTGGATGATAAGATCTTGTTAAAATTTTTTAAGAGAATAGAAATAAGTTTCGAGTTTCTGTGGTTCTTTGATCATTAGTAGAAGGTACTTGTGGGACGCTTCGGTGGTTCAGTCGGTTGAGCGTCCAACTTTGGCTCAGGTCATGATCTCATGGTTCATGGGTTGCAGTCCTGTGTTGGGCTCTGTGTTGACAGCTTAGAGCCTGAAGCCTGCTTCAGATTCTGTGTCTCTCTCTCTCGCCCCTCCCCTGCTTGCTCGCTTGCTTTCTCTCTCTCTCTCTCAAAAATAAAAAATAAAAAGGTGCTTGAAATGTAGGCTCCAGGCCCAGCATGGGGATTGAACTCATGACCTTGAGACCAAGAGTCACATGCTTTACTGAAGAGCCAGCCAGGCGCCCCATACTTGAAATATTTTTTTAATTGGTTTTTGTTTTGTTTTGTTTTTAAATTTTTTTTAATGTTTATTTTTGAGAGAGACAGAGACAGAATGCGAGTGGGTTAGGGCAGAATCCGAAGCAGGCTCCAGGCTCCGAGCTGTCAGCACAGAGCCCGACACAGGGCTTGAACTCACAAGCTGTGAGATCATGACCTGAGCCAAAGTCAGTCACTCAACCGACTGAGCCACCCAGGCACCCCTATTAATTGGTTTTTGTAGCAAAAAGTTAACAGTGTGTTAAAAGATTTTTAAGCCAGGAAATAATCTATTTATATTGCAGTAAAAATTGCAGTTATTCAATAGCTGCTCTGAGATTTGCTCTGTGAATAATAATATTCAGTGACAAAATTGTTAAAATATCAAAGACCCTAATCCCCACCAGCCCTCCTATGATCCACTTTCCCTTCCACTCAGTATTGTACATGATACTAGTTGCCTGTAGCAACCACTTACTCACTTTTGAACTTGAAATTAAAAATTTTATACTTACACAAGTAGAAAGAATGGTATAATGAACTTTCATGTTATTTCCTAGCTTCATCAATCAGCATTTTACTAGTCTTGTTTATTTTTTATTGTATGGTATTTATTTTTATTTTAAAGAGAGAGAGCATGCATGAATGGGGGAGAGGGGCAGAGGGCGCGCGAGAGAATCTTAAGCAGTCTCCATGCTCAGTCTCACGACCCTGGGATTAAGACCTGAGCTGAAATCAAGGCTTGGACACTCAACCGACTGAGTGACCCAGATGCCCCCACCCCCACCCCCAGTCTTGTTTTTATCTTTCTCTTTTTAAGGGGAGATGAGTGTTTGAACAGTATGTTTTAATGCAAATCCTCAGAAGCTTTCTCTTAACTGGTGAGGGTTGTAACAATAGAGGAAAATTTTTTCAACTCTTCTGACCTCTTCTTGAGCCTGTGCATATAGGTCCTTGACTTTTGATGGTTCACTTGTTTAAGTGTATTTACTTATTTTGAGAGAGCATGGAAGGGGCAGACAGACAGAGAGAGAGAGAAAGAGAGAGAGAATCCCAAGCAGGCTCCACACTGTCAGCACAGAATCCTCTGCGGGGCTCAGACTCACCAGCCGTGAGATCATGACCTGAGCTGAAACCAAGATTTGGACGCTTAACTGACTGAGGCACCGTTAGGTCCTTGGTTTTTATTTTATTTTATTTTTATTATTAAAAAAATTTTTTTTAAATTTTTTTTTAACGCTTATTTATTTTTGAGACAGAGAGCGACAGAGCATGAACGGGGGAGAGGCAGAGAGAGAGGGAGACACAGAATCGGAAGCAGGCTCCAGGCTCTGAGCCATCAGCCCAGAGCCTGATGCGGGGCTCGAACTCACAGACTGCGAGATCGTGACCTGAGCTGAAGTCGGACGCTTAACCGACTGAGCCACCCAGGCGCCCCCCCCAAAAAATTTTTTTTAATGTTTATTCAGTTTTGAGAGAGAGAGAGAGAGAGCGACAGAGAGCAAGTGAGGGAGGGGCAGAGAGAGAGGGAGACACAGAATCCGAAGCAGTCTCCAGGCTTTTAGCTGTCAGCACAGAGTCCTACTCGGGGCTTGAACTTGTGAACTGTGAGATCATGACCTGAGCCAAAGTCGGATGCTTAACTGACTGAGATACCCAGTTGCTCCAGGTCCTTGGTTTTTAATAAAGAGTGCCCGTCAGAGTCACTTTTGGGGGGTTGTTTTTGTTGGCTTTTTGTTTTTTAAATTTTTTTTAATGTTTATTTTTGAGAGAGAGTAAGCAGGGGAGGGGCAGAGAGAGGGAGACACAGAATCTGAAGCAGGTTCTAGGCTCTGAGCTGTCAGCACAGAGCCCAATGCAGGGCTGGAACCCACAAACTGCAAGATCATGACCTGAGCTGAAGTTGGACGCTTAACCGACTGAGCCACCCAGGCGCCCCTGTTTGTTTGTTTGTTTGTTTGTTTGTTTGTTTGTTTGTTTTGTTTGTTTGTTTGTTAAAGAACATATTTTCTGTCCTAGAACTATGGAATTAGACTCTCAGGTTGGAACCTGAACATGTGTATTTTGAAAACCCTTCCCAGGTCATTCTGAAGTGCTCTCCTAAATACGGACCATCCATCCCAGTGACTATGGAACGTATGGTGACTGGAGAGAATTGAACACATTAATTTTGATTGTTTTACTTTTGTTTGTAGCTTATAATCACTAGCTACCTTTGCACTCCTTTTGGTTTTAGTTGGCACTTTTTTTTTTAATCCATCAACATCTATAACTTTATTGAAAAGTCACACTTCTTCACTTTTTTTTTTTAACCTGAGGCAATGAATACAATGCTTAATTTCAAGACTGTAATTTGTAGTATGATGGACTTTTGAAAAAATTATTTTCAGAGAAGACCAATGATCGTATTGAAACACAGAATGTTAAGAAATATTAAAATCCTTTTTCATTGGATCACCTGATTAAGATTTTGTTTTGACCCTGGATTTTGCTTTTTCAGGTACTGGTTTTGGTACTACTAGTGGAGGGGCTTTTGGAACATCTGCATTTGGTTCTAGCAACAATACTGGAGGCCTCTTTGGAAATTCACAGACCAAACCAGGTAGGGGTTTTACTTGGAATACAGTTGGTTTATTCGTAGTTGATATAGGACTTCATATAGTGGTTCCAGTCCATCTATTTAACTGTTTTTCCCCCTCTCCATCTCCCCAGGAGGATTATTTGGTACTAATTCATTTAGTCAGCCAGCTACTTCCACAAGCACTGGCTTTGGGTTTGGCACATCAACAGGAACATCAAATAGCTTGTTTGGAACTGCAAGTACAGGGACTAGTCTCTTCTCATCCCAAAACAATGCCTTTGCACAAAATAAACCAACTGGCTTCGGAAGTAAGTAGGATATCATTGGACTTCTGCATCCAACAATTCGATTTGCTTATTGAATATATTCTTTCTTCTTCTTTTGCCTGTGTTCATTTACCTCCTTTCTCTACCAGATGGCAAAAACATGGGGAGAGGGAATCTTCAAAATGTATTGAAAAGTTTAATAGGCTTTAAATGAGGAGGTTGGGTACATCTTCCCATGAGTGGAAATCTAAGAAGCATTATTATTTAAGGAATATGCAGAGGAAGAGGCTCCTGATATAGAATGACCAAATAGTATATGGAAAGCCAAGTCAGAGTGATGTCATAGTTGTTAAGACAGGAGAATTTCAAGGAGGAGTGTATAGTCATCCATATTGTACTGCAGAGGCACCTCCTTGCCTCTGTTTCACATTTGTTATAAGAGACTAAAGCAGGAATGACAAATACTGGAGATGACCTGGTTACTCTTCCATTCATTATCCATGGCAGATGATTTTAATTGATGGTTTCTTTCTCTTTAAGTCTAAATGTGGCCTAGGGATACTTCTCCACACAGTACTTTGAGGCAACCACTATTGGTTGAACAGGTGTGCTCTGTGAGTTGGTGCATTCTTAGCACAAAAGTATAGCAGAATGAATAAGTTAGCCAGCTATCAGTATTTCACAAAGGGAAAGTTTGTAGGGTATTGAAATACTTAATGATTACAATGTAAAATGCAATCTAAAGTGCTAATTCAAAAGAGATGTGCCTGTTGACCTTAAACCATACATTAGGACGTGTTTTTAGAAAAGAAAGAGTTTGCCAGTGAGAAATCACATTCCTCTTAAATTGGTAATTAGGATCTGACTTACTATGAAATACTGGCAGATAACTTTATTGTTTACTGACATTTCTGGCACCCTTTGTATAACTTCTTGAGAAATAATATCTCTTACTTTGAAAAATATATTCCTTAGATAACAGTTAAATTCACTTTTATGGAGTTTTTTGAAACTCTGCTTTTTGGAAAAGTAAGGTAATTAGAGGATTCATTCTATAAAACAATCAAGATGCCTACTAATTTTTCTAAATTATTTTTCTGGGCAGAATTTTATATTAACCTGTTTGGTTTCCCTAATAGGACCATTTATATGTTTTGAACTTTTTGGTTATGTGTGTGTGTTTGTATTAATGTAATATGTATTATGTAAATAAAATACACTGTGACCCTATTGAAGTCTGTTGTGATGTTTTCAGAAAGACTGGTTCATTCAGCATGTAGTTTTAACAAGAAAGGAGAAATGAAATAAAATTTATGATGAAATAGAGCACTATTTTTTTTTCACTTTCTTCCAAATTTACCCAAGAAGAACTTTATAGACATTTAGCTGACAAAGGGATTTAGATTTTGTTTCACTTGAAAGTTTTGAGCCTAGAATTTTATCTGTGTCTATATGAAATACCTGTTTGAAGATACTAGGGAAATTTGTAAGATAGAAAATTTGAGTATGTGAAAGTAATGCATCTATAGTGCCACTTTCCAAATGGGCATCTATAGCCCATTTCCAAGATGTCTTACAGATTCTTAAACTGTTGCCATCTTCTTTTTCTTTGTAATTTACAGATTTTGGAACAAGTACCAGCAGTGGGGGACTTTTTGGTACTACAAATACCACCTCCAATCCTTTTGGTAGTACATCTGGCTCCCTCTTTGGGCCGAGTAGTTTTACAGCTGCTCCCACTGGGACTACGATTAAGTTTAATGTAAGTATTTCTTTCCAGTCTTTGTAGAATATATTACTCTCCCATTTGTATATTTCTTTGCAGGATGAATCATAAAATTTCTCCTTTTTCCAGTTCTGCACAGCTTAGTCTCACTCTTCTAAGATGTGTTAAGAACAAAATCTGTAAATAGTTATATAGTAAATACAAAAAGTCATGAAACATAAATCTAGATTGTGTATTTGAATTATGCTTAACCCAGTCAAATTTATATTCACAAGGTTGATTACAACAGGTAGTAATGATGTTGAACTTGTATTTATTGCATTCATAACTTGGCTCTAAAGGAATGGTTGAATGCTCAACCATTATTGAAAATAGGGCCTCTTTAAGGAGATACATGGAATAACTCCTAAATATTTTGTGTGCCAATGAAGAATAAAACTTGTTGATGAAATGGCAAAATGGGGCAATGGAGTTTTATGTTTTCTTTGGCTTTTTTAAGACTTGGGCAGAGGGTTAGAATGGAAGATTTGTTTATGAAAATGTATGGAATATTACTTGATGTAAGATACCATTTGATGCGATTGGGGAGATACTTAGGGTAGGCTGGAGGTGCAGTTAGCTTAAAGAAAATCTGGGGAAAGTAGGTCTTGACTGAACTTCTTGTTAAAAGTTACTCCAGGAAATGAAGAATTTCTCAGGCAAGGTGGTGAAGTCATAATATTGAATTTAGAAACCTAAATTTTATAAATAATAGGGAAAAATAATTCCTGGAAAGTGTAATAATTGAGGAAACTGGCAATACTAGTAGAAAACTTTGGTTATATATTGTGCCTGTTTCTCATAAGGTTATAGGGGAAAAAAAAAACCCGGCTTCCATGTTTCTTAAATGCAACAACAGTTACAAAGCAGAACTTCGCTTTATTTTATGTATTTCTTTCTTTCTTTCTTTCAGATACTTCAGAGCAGGGTAGGAGATAGAACTCAGAGATTCAGGTTTAAATGTACATGTTGGGTAAATTGGATGAAGTTTTCCTTATGCATACAGTATTAAGTGTATTTTAGTATGTAATTAGATGGCTTGTTTATGGACTCAATGTCTGTGATAACTATTATTGCGATTGATTTATTTAGATAACGTAGGGGAGAGAGATCAGAAATGCAATGTATTTAATTAAGCACCATTGAAACTCTGACTTAGCAAAAGACCTACAGGACTAGATAGTGTAGAATTCAGTGGTTGAAGAATTGTGTCTGGAGAGTAGGGATTTAAAGTTTAGACTTAGACATTTGCTTTAGACTTTCATATTTGCTTTTATCTTCCTTTACAGCCTCCGACTGGTACAGATACTATGGTTAAAGCTGGAGTTAGCACTAACATCAGTACCAAGCACCAGTGTATTACTGCTATGAAAGAATATGAAAGCAAGTCTCTAGAGGTCAGTAAAATGCAATACAGAATATCATCCTAACCTTCTGATTCTATTGGAAAGCAACTTTTAAAAATGTTTTTGATTATTTTTAGGATCAGTGGTTCACACTGGGTTTATGTAAAAGACTAACAACCAAACTTTTTTTAAGTAAGCTCTGTGCCCAGTGTGGGGCTTGAAGTCAAAACCCTGACCAAGATCAAGAGCCACATGCTCTATTGACTGAGCCAGCCAGGTGCTCCACAAGCAAATTATTTTTAAAAATTAATGTATTATCTATACATATCTTGTTTTAGGAAGGTCAGTATTCAGCTTGTTTGTACTGGTATAGTTCTGTTAGTAGTCCATTGTGATTGTATGTTGTTCACATTATACTGGGTAACGTGTGTGTATGTGACATGCACATGATTTTAGTAAACTCATGCAAAGTCATAAGTGTACAACATACTAAGTTTTCACCAAGTGAACAGACCCATGTTACCAGGATCCAGATCAAGTCACTGAGCATTACCAGCATTCCTGATGTCCCACATGTGCCTGGTGTCCCTAGGCACAATCCCCCCGCCCGCCCCGCCACCTCTTCCTAAGCTAAACTATTGTGAGTGCCCATGTTTTGCCCATTTTGAACTTTATACAGATGGAATCTTAACATTACCTACTAAGTCTGCTTTTCTACACTGTGAGATTTATCCATGGCGTTGCATGAAGTTAGTTTGTTCATACTATAATATGATAGTATGTTGTATATTTTGAGTGTCATCCCTAGTTATAGCTGTTGCTTCCGCTACATCCCATACTGTACTTGATTTATTGGAGTGTACAGAAACACCCTGACGTGTGAGATAGAACTCTTAAACTGTATCCCTTTTTTACCTAATTTTCTGAAACCCCTCATCCCATCCCAGAAACTTTGATATTTCTAGCTAATTTTTATATTTGGGGTGGGAGTAGATAGGATTATTATATAGCCTTGTACTAAAAGAAACTATTGCTGTTTATAAAAGAAAATTAAAATTAAGATATGATTGGTCCTTGGCCTGTGGTTTTAGTAATTATGGTATGGATTTTAGTGTCCACTCTACACTGTTGAAAGTGTTTTTCTGTAATGATGATAAGTTCATGTTCTGTACTTCTCTGTTTTTTAGTCATGGTTCCTATGTGAACATGAACGTTGAATTCTAAATTTAAGTATTTAGTTTCCTAAATAATTTTTTTGGCTGCATATTAAGATTGGAAATACGCTTTCCCTTCCTCTAGGAACTTCGTTTAGAGGATTATCAGGCTAACCGGAAAGGCCCGCAGAACCAGGTGGGAGCAGGTACCACATCTGGCTTGTTTGGGTCTTCTCCAGCCACCTCCAGTGCAACAGGACTCTTCAGCTCCTCTACCACTAACTCAGGCTTTGCATATGGTCAGAACAAAACAGCCTTTGGAACTAGTAAGCATTTGGCATCATATTGAGGAGGGACAGACAACTAAAAGTAAAACATAATTGTCATTTTTTGATAAAATAATTCAGCAATGTCAGAGGAACAGAGTGTCTGATATGTAGATGGGGATGTAGAGATACACAGTAAATGGAGATGGTTAAAAAGGGCCTCACTGATAAGGTGACATTTGGAAGGTGACCTATCTGAAGAATGTGAAGGATAAAGCTATACAGATTTCTGGAGGAACAACATTCCAGCCAGAGGAAGCTGTAAGTCTAAAAACCCTGAGTTTTTTCCAAAGATAATGAGAACCAAGGGAAAGTATTAAGGGATATAAGGACTATATTTTATAGGACATTGTGGGTCATTGTCAAGATTGAATTATTATTTGAGTTAGGAAGCCATTAGAAGTTTTAGAAGGAGAAGTCATGTGATTATGAGTGAAGGATCATCTGAATGCTGCTATATTTAGATTGTGGTAGCTACACTTGTGAGTATAGCATAACCTAGAGACTTGTCCAATCGCTAGGTTGTACACCTGAAACTAATATAACATTGTGTTTCAACTTCAAAGACTCAAGAAAAAAAGATTGTTAAGGGGGCAAGGGTGAAGACAAATAAATTAGAAAAGCTGTTGCTTCATTCACATGAGAGATGATAGTGGCTTGACTGAGGAGATGGAGGTAGTAAACGTGTCAGATTCTAGACCCAGTTTGAATATAGAACTGATGAGATTTGCCGATAGATTGCTTTTATGTGGGATGTGAAAGAGGGAAGTCTATGATGATGACTAAATTACTTTATGAAAATACTACTTTTGTACAGGTAATACATATGTATGATAAAAAGTTCATGAGACAAAAAAGTCTGTAACCAAAGGTATCTTGTTTGCTTCCCCTAGCTATTATTTTCCTCCATAAAACACGCAAAAGTTGGACTGTTTTGTGATCTTTTACAGAGATTTATACACACCTGCGAATATACAGATAAATACATATTTAAGTGGCATTTAACATTCATTTCAGACTTGGTATCCTGTGATGTAGTTTAGCCACATACTCATTATCAAATACAGTGTATCCTATGTGAAATAGAAAGCCTCTGTTCTCAAGAAAAACTTAATCTAACAAGGTTAAAATACACATATAGATTCTGAGTGTGGTGTGGTATTTTGTTAATAGAAGAAAGTTTTGGACTCAAAAAAGATTACTTAGCCCAGCCAGGGTTCTTGGAGTCAGAGTATTATTATAGGAATTGAAGTCTGAACTAAATCCAGAGTTAGGTGAAAAAGGATGGGAAGTGAAATGGTTATCTATTTTGAGTAGTGAATGAAATTTTCCTACATCATTTAGATATGTAGATATGTAGATTTCCTACATCATTTAGTCAACAATATTAATGTTGTTGCAGTAACTGAATAATGTGAGATTTGAGGGGGTTTTTCTTTTCTCCATTTATTTTTACTGTATTTCTTTTTTTCTGAAAGGTACAACTGGGTTTGGAACAAATCCGGGTGGTCTCTTTGGCCAACAGAATCAGCAGACTACCAGCCTCTTCAGTAAACCATTTGGCCAGGCCACAACCACCCAGAACACTGGCTTTTCCTTTGGTAATACCAGCACACTAGGACAGCCAAGTACTAATACCATGGTAAGGAAACAGACCTTTAATTAACTCCAGGTCTTATTCAGAGAACTAAGTAATGAGGCTTCTAATCATATCAAAGTAGCAAGTTCTACCTCTACGGTAGTTCTTAAGGGTTGACAGTATATAGAAAGGAATATGCAAAATGTAAATAATTAAAGCCTAGATTCTAGTCCAAACTTTACTCCCTCCTCACTGAGGGGCTGTTGAGCAAGTCACTTATTCTTTCCAAGCATATTTCCTTACCACCAGGAGCTGCTTCATGTGCTAGAATTGGCCACTAAAGTTATACTTTAGGACATTGGCTCTACTCATTCTATGGAGTATAGGAGAAAATACTTACAAATTACTAGCTGTATTTCAGCATATTCTTTCAGCTTTTTCCTTAAGCGGAGTCAGGCAAAGATGTGTAGTTCATTAAAATAAATAAGGGAGGACTAAAACTCAGAGCCATATTAGATAATTGCTATTTCTGTGCAAAAAGCAAAAGAGAAAGTCCTTAGAGTCATTACCAGTTTCTGTATTTTTTTTTAACTTTATTTTTTTATTTTGAGAGAGAGCGCATGTGCACTGGGGAGAGGCAGAGAGAGAGGGAGAAAGAGAATCCAAAGCAGGCTCTGAACTGTGAGCGCGGAGCCTGACACTGGGGGCTTGAACTCACAAACTGTGAGATCATGACCTGAGCTGAAATCAGAAGTCAGACACATAACCAGCTGAGCCACCCAGATGCCCCTTTACCAGTTTATTTCTAAGGACTCTTTTTGGGAAGAATAAAATTAAGATTAATGAGAAGTATGATTTATTGATTAAAATTTTCAGAATTTAACTGGCCTTTAAGTTAGAGATACTGTATCTGATTAAAAAACCAGTACAGCCAGATCCCAAAAATCTTTAAAAATTTTTTTTAATGTTTATTCATTTTTTTGAGAGAGAGAGAGAGAGACAGAGACAGAGCATGAACAGGGAAGAAGCAGAGAGAGAGGGAGACAGAATCCAAGGATTCTGAGTTGTCAGCACAGAGCCCTATACGGAGTTTGAACTCACACACTGTGAGATTATGACCTGAACCAAAGTCAGACGCTTAACTGATTGAGCTACCCAGGCACCCCTCAAACCCCAAAAATCTTACAAATACTTGGCAAACCAAATTCACCAACATGTGAAAAAGATGATAACCATGACCAAGTGGGATTCATCCTGGAAGGTTGATTCAACATAGGAAAATTAATAAACATAATAAACAAAAACTACATGATCACTTCAGTAGGTGCAGAAAAAGCATTTGACACCCTTTCATGATAAAAACACTCAACAAAGAAAGGAATCCAGGCCAACTAATCTTTGACAAAGCAGGAAAAAATATCCAATGGAATAAAGACAAATGGTGCTTCAACAAATGGTGCTGAGAAAACTGGACAGTGACATGCAAAAATATGAACCTGGACCACTTTCTTACACCATACACAAAAATAAACTCAAAATGGATGAAAGACCTATATGTAAGACAGGAAGCCATCAAAATCCTCGAGGAGAAAGGCAAAAACCTCCTTGACCTCGGCCGCAGCAACTTCTTAACACGTCTTTAGAATCAAGGGAAACAAAAGCAAAAATGAACTATTGGGATCTCATCAAAATAAAAAGCTTCTGAACAGTGAAGGAAACTATCAGCAAAACTAAAAGGCAACCAACAGAATGGGAGAAGATATTTGTAAATGACATAATAGATAAAGGGTTAGTATCCAAAATCTATGAAGAATTGATCAAACTTGACACCCAAAAAACAAATAATCCAGTGAAGAAATAGGCAAAAGACGTGAATAGACACTTCTCCAAAGAAGACATCCAGATGGTGAACAGACACATGAAAAAATGCTCAATATCACTCCTTATCAGGGAAATACAAATCAAAACCACAATGAGATACCACCTCACACCTGTCAGAATGGCTAACGTCAATAACTCAGGCGAGGATGCAGAGAAAGGATCTCTTTTGCACTGCTGGTGGGAATGCAAACTGGTGTAGCCATCCTGGAAAACAGTATGGAGGTTCCTCACAAAATTAAAAATAGAACTGCCCTACGACCCACGAATTGCACTACTAGGTATTTATCCAAGGGATACAGGAATGCTGTTTTGAAGGGACACATGCACCCCAATGTTTATAGCAGTGCTATCGACAATCGCCAGAGTATGGAAAGAGCCTGAATGTCCATCGACAGATGAATGGATAAAGATGTGGTGTATATATATACAATGGAGTGTTACTTGGCAATCAAAAAGAATGAAATCACTGTTGAATTCTCATTTCAGCAATAGTTCATTAGTGCAATATTTTTCTTTTTTTTTTTTTTTAATTTTTTTTTAACATTTATTTATTTTTGAGACAGAGACAGAGCATGAACGGGGGAGGGTCAGAGAGAGAGGGAGACACAGAATCTGAAACAGGCTCCAGGCTCTGAGCAGTCAGCACAGAAACCGACGCGGGGCTCGAACCCATGGACAGTGAGATCATGACCTGAGCCGAAGTCGGACGCTTAACCGACGGAGCCACCCAGGCGCCCCGCAATATTTTTCTTTAGTTAACTAATGTATAAATAAAATATCTTCTTAAGCACTGGATGACATAAACTTTATTTGTAATTAGTATAGTTTCTCATGTCAAATTAAGACTTAACATTACACTCCTGCCTCTGTGTCCAGATTGATAATTTCAGCCAGCTGATTGTTTTCAGTTGTATGATTCAAAGTCCATTGCCCGGCTCAGCATTGGTTAGTTCTTTTGGCATAACTCTCTGAAAATGAAGCATTCTGTCATATTTTGTTTTCAGTGTTACAATCCTGCTATCTCTTAGAGCGTAAGAGTTTAGTATAAAGTCTTACCACTGCCCAGGACATTGGAACTCATTGGGCTTAGATGTAGATATGAGGGTTTTGTTTTTTGTTTTTTTTAAATGGCCCTGCTCGTTGTTGTGACGAAAAATAATGCTTTATGTATTTAGCATAATATCTATCTTGTAAACTGTGTTTTTTAAAAACATTTTTTTTAATGGTTTTTTTTTTTATTTTTGAGAGAGATAGAGACAGAATGCGAGTGGGTTAGGAGCAGAGAGAGAGGGAGACACAGAATCCGAAGCAGGCTCCAGGCTCCGAGCTGTCAGCACAGAGCCCGACACGGGGCTGGAACTCATGAGCTGTGAGATCATTACCTCAGCCGAAGTCGGATGCTCAACCGACTGAGCCACCCAGGCTCACCCAAAATGGCAGCTATTATTAATCTTAAGATTCTTAAAACTGACTTGTAGGATATCTTTTAATGTAGATACCTTTTGCAGGGTTTATTTGGAGTAACCCAAGCCTCACAGCCTGGAGGTCTTTTTGGGACAGCTACCAACACCAGCACTGGGACAGCATTTGGAACAGGAACAGGTCTCTTTGGGCAGCCCAATACTGGATTTGGTGCTGTCGGTTCGGTAGGTTATTATAGTTGATCTAATTTGAAGATATGTATAAATTTGTTAAAGAATTTCTAAGAAAGATTTAACTATTTTTCAAGTGTTTTTATTAGGTCTTAGACAATGCTGATAGTAATTAAAAGCTATTTGGTACAAAAATAAGTAACTTTAGTAGGTTAATTTTCAAGTAGTAAGTTCTTTTTTAAACTTCTTTGCCACAATGATTATGTACAGTTTACTTATGATAGCACAGTATCACTCCAGTTGGTTAAATTGTTGAGTCTAAATTGAAGTGCTTTCATTATTAAGTCAGGTAATTTTTAGTTCCTATACTCTATTCTCTTGGGTGATACGTTGGTATGATATTTGAGAATTAAGAATTCCAAGTTACTAAAGTTGGTGATCTCATGGTTTTCCTGCAGCTGGAGGCTTAACTGAATTGTGTTCCCTGTTCAGTCATTTAAGTAAACAACTATTTAGGAGTGCGCTTGACCCTAAAAATAATAGTAAATTCTGTATTACCACTTAAACTATAAGAATCAATATAAAACAGCCAATCTGTCTTATTTACCCGTTAAAAAAAAAGCTTTGAACATGCTGTTGGTGGATAATTAAAAAAAGAAAATGAAAAAGAAAGAAAAATCCCAAAATGTGATTTTCAGGGAAATAGCAATCTGTTATTCCGTAACTTTTCTTTGGGCAGCTAATTGAGATGAGAAATTGAGAAAATTATATAATTCTTCAAAAAGTTATTAGTAACCAGTTTATTGAGATATAATCCATATGCCATACAATTCACCCTCTTAAAGTTTATAATTGAGTGGTTTTTTGTATACCGACTGATTGTGGAACTATTACCATAGTCAATTTGAGAACATGTTCATCACCTTAATAAAAAGAAACCTCATACTTATTAGTAGTCATTTCTCATTTCCCTCAATTAACCTCAAGCCTGCTGTCTACAGATTTGTCTATTCTGGACATTTCATATAAATGGAATCACATAATATGTAGTCTTTTGTGACCACCTTACTTAGCATAATGTTTTAAAGGCTCATTCATATTCTAGCATGTTTAAATTTTTTATTGTAACTTTCTGCTGGCAAATTAAATACATGAACGTTTCTGTTACCAGGTAAAAAAAAATATTTGATTACCTTATTATTTTCTTTGCTGTGCTGAAATACTGTGTTTGCTGAAGGGTTGCCATTAACTTCTCAGGCTAGAAGCATGCTCTGTAAAGTCCCATCTTGCTCAGATTAGTATATTTTTCTTATAGTCTTTATTCATCCTCCTCCTACTTTTTCATAAAGTTATGACATTCTTCTCTCATTTCCCTCACATCCAATCCAGTATACCTGAGGTGTAACCTCTGTTTACTGTTTGGAGTGTGTCTTTATACTACTTAAATTTTTTCTGTATTTTGTTCTTTTTAGACCCTGTTTGGCAATAACAAGCTTACTACATTTGGAACCAGCACAACCAGTGCTCCTTCATTTGGTACAACCAGTGGCGGGCTCTTTGGTAACAAACCAACCCTGACTTTAGGAACCAATACAAACACTTCCAATTTTGGTACATATAAAAAAGCAGGTTTGACTCTCTTAAAGTTACACTGACTATACCACACATCATTCTCCTGATTCATATGATTGGGAATATTAAAAAATTCTCAGGTAAGCTGTGGCTTGATGTGAGGTACCAGAGGGAAAGGTTTAAAATCATAGATATGGGTTGACATACTTAGATATAAATTGCCTTACCTCATTATTAGGCTCCCAACTCCCTGCTTTGGATAAAATGGGCCATTCAACACATGCAGTATTACCTTGTAGAAAGTTGCTTCTCTAATGGAGATAGAAGTTTTTCAAAATAAGGAAATACATTTCCTTTGGATTACCTCACCAATAGTTGAGAAACCATAAATGAAACACATGCAGTTGAGATAACGCACACTTTTTTTTTTTTAAGTTTATTTATTTATTTTGAGAGACAGAGACCAGCACGAGCAGGGGAGGGGCAGAGAGAGAGGGAGAAAGCAAGAAACCCAAGTAGGCTCCATGCTACCAGCACAGAACCAGATGCGGGGCTCGAACTCACAAAACTGTGAGATCACGACCTGAACGAAGAAACCAAGAGTTGGACACTTAACCAATGGAGCTACCCAGAAGCCCCGAGATAACACATTCTCTTAGGCCAGGTTTCAAATAGGGAAGTAGTGTACAAATTTGATGATTTTTTTTTAAATGTTTTTTGTTGTCATTTTTGTTTTGATTTTTGTTTTTTTTGAGATTTCATGATTCTTATCAAAAGTTGAAGCTTTCCTTCAGCTGCAAAAGTTTATTTTTGAATATGTGTTCATTATAAAAAATTTAGAAAATACAGATAAGATTGAATAATAATTAAAATACAGCCCTAAACTAGTTTTCAGAGATAATGCTAAAAAAATTAAACTTTAATAGAACATTATATCTTCTGTAACTACCTAATTAAGCTTTTAATCAAATTTTTAACAAATTATTAACATAATTTGCATTAGATAAGGAAAGTTCATTTTATGATCAAGGGAAATAATAGTTTAAATATCTGTTAAGGATTTTACATACCAGATACATCATTACACACTGGGGATACTTAGTGGTAGATGAGTGAAAAGACATGGTCAGTGGAGCACCTGGCTGGCTCATTTGGAAGAGCATGCCACTCTTGATCTCAGAGTCCGAGTTTGAGCTTGAACCTACGAACTGTGAGATTATGACCTGAGCTGAAATCAAGAGTTGGATGCTTAACTGACTGAGCCACCCAGGAACCCCTAGACCAGTTGTTTCTTAGTTATCTTCTCATCCTATGAGATTTTAATATCACATATGTACTGTGTGTCTGTTTATGTACTGTGGCCCTTTCAAGGGCCATAAACCATTGTATATCTATGATTCATTTAACCCCTCAAGAGTCAATTTTCCCTCCCTTTGAAAATGCATGTCTTTTTTTGTAGCATGCTTCATGTTCAGAAACACTTTTTTTTTTTAATTTTTTTTTTTTTCAACGTTTATTTATTTTTGGGACAGAGAGAGACAGAGCATGAACGGGGGAGGGGCAGAGAGAGAGGGAGACTCAGAATCGGAAACAGGCTCCAGGCTCTGAGCCATCAGCCCAGAGCCTGACGCGGGGCTCGAACTCACAGACCGCGAGATCGTGACCTGGCTGAAGTCGGACGCTTAACCGACTGCGCCACCCAGGCGCCCCAGAAACAGTTTTTATTTGCTTATATAGGCTAAAATGATGAAGTGGGCTGGGCTTGATGTTTTTCCATGGTTGCAGATTTCTGATAGTTTGGAGATTTTTTTTGTTGGATATGTATATACACACACACACACTCCTGTCCAGTGGTTTGAAAATGAAAGATTTCATTTTTATCTAAAATGCCTCACTAGCTTTTGTGATGAATCTGAATGGTCCTAATTTTTTTTCTTTTTTAATCCCCAGTGTTGACCTAGTGCCTGGCATAGCATTGGTGCTCACTAAAACTTGGTTAAATGATTTAAAGGGTGAACAAATGGGGCCCTAAGAGTAATGATTCCTTCTGAGTCAGATGGGAGTTGCAGGGTGGCAAGTTTTATTCTACTCTTGGGTGAATTTAAATTTCCGTTACCACCCTTGAGGAATCCAGAGCTAGGTAAGGCTTTCTTTGATTCTCTTGTTGTCTTGGGAACCTTTCAACTTTGAGTTTGTGGGCAGAAGAATCTTCCGATTTGGAAATAAGCCATATAACAAATCTGGAAATGGAATAAGGTTATACAAAGATTCAGAGTGTTGCTAAGTTATTGTTGGTCACACACTATCCATTATGGGATTTTGTTTCATTCTGATGCTGGTTAATCCACAGAGTTAAAAGTTGGGATACCTAAAGTAAGTTGGAGTACCTGCTGCCACAGTTGGTGTTGCAAGATCCTTAAGTCATTCTTTAGAGTCATCAGCTCATTTTCTTAGTAAATATTCTTGGCAGGAACGAGTTTAAGATTAAGTGAGTATAAGATAAGTGTCTGAATTTCTTTTTTTTTTTTTAATTTTTTTTAATGTTTATTTATTTTTGAGAGAGACAAAGCGTGAGTGGGGGCGGGGCGGAGAGCAAGGGAGACAGAATCTGAAGCAGGCTCCAGGCTCTGAGCTGTCAGCACAGAACCCTGTGTGGGGCTCAACCCATGAACCGTGAGATTATGACCTGAGCCGAAGTCGGACACTTAACCGACTGAGCCACCCAGGTACCCCTAGTGTCTGAATTTCTCAGTGAATGGAGGAATAGAATTGTTTCAGGAGAGGAATTACAGACAGAATGCCTATACGTGGGAGCAACAGTTTAAAAAGGTTGATTCTTTTTGTAATAATAAGATGATGTTGGGCAATATATCAGTGATTCTTCTATGCTGTATGGTTAAGTGGGCAGTTAAGGACCTATTTGTTTTTTTTTTTGTTTTGTTTTTTTTTTTATTTATTTTGGGACAGAGAGAGACAGAGCATGAACGGGAGGGGCAGAGAGGGAGACACAGAATCGAAACAGGCCCAGGTTCGAAGCCAAATTCGGAAGCCTGGCAGGAGAGTCTTCTAATGCCAAGCTCGAACTCACGATCAAGCAGATCGTGGACTTCCGCATGGAAGTCGGACGCCTAACCGACTGCGCCACCCAGGCGCCCCAGTTAAGGACCTATTTGAATACTTAAGTCCTTAGGCTTATTTTTCTAAATTGAGATATAATTGAAATATAACATTAGTTTCAGGTATAAGGATTTGTTATTTGTGTGTATTGTGAAATGATCACTGCAGTAAGTCTAGTTAATAGTTAACATCTGTCACCATACATAGTTACACATTTTTTTATGATGAGAACATTTAGGATCTACTAGTTTAGCAACTTTCACATATGCAAGACAGTATTAACTGTCGTCACCATACTGTAAATAATATCCCCATGACTTATTTATTTTATAACTGGAAGTTTGTACCTTTGATCCCCTTTTACCCATTTCGCCCATCTCCCATTCCTTGCCTCTGGCAATTACCAATCTATTGTCTGTATCTATAAGCTCGTCTTTTGTTTTATGAGATTACACATATAAGTGAGATCATGCAGGTTTGTCTTTCTCTGAATGGCTTATTTCACTTAGCATAATGCTTTCAAATTCCTTCCATGTTGTCACAGATGGCAATGTTTCATTCTCCTTTATGGCTGAATAATACTCATTGTATGTACATACCACATCTTTATCCATTTATCCATCAGTGGATACTTAAAATACAAAATACTGTTTTCAGTATTTTGGCTATTGTAAAAAATTATTTGTGTTCGTTTATTTATTTTGAGAGAGAGAGAGAATGCACACACAAGTGGGAGAGGGTCAGAGAGAGAGAGAGGGAGGGAGAGAATCCCAAGCAGCCTCGTGTTATCAGCACAGAGCCAGACACAGGGCTCACGCTCATAAACTTTAAGATGACTTGAGCTGAAACCAAGAGTCGGATGCTTAACCAACTGAGCCACCCAGACAGCCCTCACTGTGGTTTTGATTTGCATTTCCCTGATGATTAATGATGTTGAGCATCTTTTCATATGTCTTTGGTCCATCTGTATGTCTTCTTTGGAAAAATGTCTATTCAGATCCTCTGCCCGTTTTTAAATTAGATTATTTTTTTGCTATCATGTTGAGCTCTTTATATAGATATTAACTTCTTATCAGATGTGTGATTTACAGGTATTTTCCCTCATGCAGTAGCTTGTCTTTTCATTTTGTTGATGGTTTCCTTTGTTGTATAAAAGCCTTTTAAGTTTGATATAGTCCCAATTGTTTATTTCTGCTTTAGTTGCCTTTGCTTTTGGTGTCACATCCAAAAAGTCATTGCCCCAACAGATGTTACATAGGAGCTCACAGCCTATATTGTCTTCTAGGGGTTTTATACTTTCAGGTCTTGCAGTTCAAGTTTTTAATTTTTGTGTATGGTGTAAGATTGTGGTCCAGTTTCATTCTTTTGCTGTCCAGTTTTCCTAGCACCATTTATTGGACACACTGTCCTCCTTTGTATATTCTTGGCTCCTTTGTTGTAAATTAATTAACCATTAATTAATCATCTTTAATTTTACTTTAAAAATTGTTTTGAAATAACAGAGTTGATCAACATTTGTCAGTAAGAATCTGAGGAAATGTGTGGTATAAACAGTGTAAGTTGGGAATTATTTCCCTCGTGTGGGTTTGAGGTAGTTCACAAGTATCTTATTTTCTGCTATTTATGGAAGACCCTTTCCGGTTAAATTTTAACTCAAAAAAGAATATTTCCAGGTACATTTGTTTTCTTTAAAAAAACCAAAAACTGTGTTTGAGTAGCAGTACTGTTTTGTGGCATAGCTATTAGCACAATTGAAGAAAAGATTTAATGAGTATATGAATTAAATAGATTATGTCAGATTATATGCATTTTTTTAGTTTTTTATTTTGAGAAAAAGAGCACGTGAGCAAGGGAGGAGCAGAAAGAGAGGGAGAGAGAATCCCAGGCTCTGTGCAGAGCCTGACACAGGGCTTGATCATGAGATCATGATGACTTGAGCCAAAATCAGGAGTTGAATGCTTTACCGACTGAGCCACCAGGCACCCCTGATCACATGTATTTCTAAATGACATTAAAAATACATTTTCAAACTATTTAAATTCTTCAGCCTTTTTTCTTGGTCTTTTTCTATTGAGATAATAATCCAAAGATTGGCATGACTAAGTATAATATTCTTATTTGGTGATAGTGTCATATATTCCAAGATACTCTTTATTAAGACTGTTATCTTTTAGAGCTGTTCCCCTCCATGATACCTTTTAAAAAGACTTCAAGTATTTCATGAACAAGGTTTGATTGATTTTTGTTTCCTCTTATCAAAAGAGATTAATGATAGGGGTACCTCACTGGCTCAGTTGGTGGAGCATACAGTTCTTGATCTCCGGGTTGTGAGGTAGAGCCCCATGTTGAGTGTAGAGATTACTTAACAATAAAATCTTTATGAAGAAAAACAAGAGATGAATGTTATGTTCATTAGCTGTTTTGTTGATATCATCTCCAAAAGGAGTACAGAAACTTTGTGGACCTATCTGAACAAAAGGTAAATAATAGCAGTAATGCAGTATAGGTTTCTTCTGGGGAAACCTATGGATTTTCAAGGGAAATTAATAGGATTTTCTCTAAAAGATCAGTCATAGTGAAGGAAGATGGGTTTAACTATCCACCATCTCTGATAATGAAACAGTTCAACCCAAGAAAAGTTATGTATACATTATTTTTAATATCAGCTAGCTGAGTTCTTGAGTGCTCCTGTGGGCTGATTTGATTATGAGACCTCATAAAGGTGAAAGATGAGGATTAAAGTTCCTCATGTGTGGTCAGCCAGCCACACATTACTGCCCATGCAGGGTTTATCTGTTCAAAACCAGAGCTACTACTGTAGAAAATTTTATAGGTAAATTTCTGTTAGCAGGAACCTTTAGATTCAATAAAGTGTGTTTGTTGGCTGTCTTATTTTTAAAAAAAAATTTTTTTTTTAAAGTTTACTTAAGTAATCTGTAGACCCAACGTGAGGCTCGAACTCAAAACCCTGACATCAAGAGCCACATTTTCTACTGACTGAGCCAGCCAGGTGCCCTGGACTGTCTTATTTTTAGTGAAAGCTGGAGGGAATTCATTTTTCTTCCATTAATTAAACATCAAAAATATGTTTGAGTCTTACAAAGGGAATGTATATGCTCAAGCATAGTCACTTTGCTTTAATATTTCAAGTCTGAAACATAAGTAAATAGGAAGATATGGGGGTCTGTTTACAGGCATCAAAATTTTAAAAACTTTAAAAATGTTAAAGTAGCCTGCCATTTAGGATTTCTAAATATTATTAACTGACAGGATACAAAGCTTAGGGTCAGACTGCCTTTTTAAAAATTCCCTTATACAGGAAATTGAGAGTTATATTAAAAGTACAGTCCACTCACTCTTTTGTCCTTCTAGGTTTCGGCACAAATACCAGTGGGAGTAGTATTTTTGGAAGTAAACCAGGACCTGGGACTCTGGGAACTGGCCTTGGTGCAGGATTTGGAACAGGTAAGGAACTGTACCACAAAATTTAGGCCTTCTAATTGTTGGAACTTAAGACAACTCTGTTTGATCTTACGCCTGGAAATAGGGTGTAGATATGCATTTTCTCAAACAGACTTATAAAACATTCTCAGCAGTTATGCTTTACCAGGTTTTAGAACATTTGGACATTTATCTTAGACATTTGGACACATATCTTATTTATGCTCCCATTCTACAAAATGTCTTATAGTCCTGGTCTATTTGGGATTTTTAGTATTTAATGTGAGACTTGTCAATATGACGGCATTATTAACTTCCCATTCCCTTGTGCTACCTTTGTAAAAGGGATTTAAGACTTTGAACTGTTTATCAAGTAAGCTTAATTACCCTAATAGGAAAACAGAGCAGTAAGAGCATAAGCTCTTTTACAAAGTCTGTGCATACTTCTCAGTTCTTTCCATCTTGATGTAGAGCTGAGATGTCACACCTGTGTCTCTGTGCCTACTGTTGATAATTAATTTTCAGTGCCTTTGAAGACACTGACCCTTCTTTTATTTATTTTTTAGTTTTTTAGAAAGAGGAGAGAGAGAGAGAGAGAGAATGTGAGTGAGGGGAAGGGAGAAGAGGGGTGAGAGAACCTTAAGCAGGCTCCACACTCAGCATGCAGCATGACAGAGGCCTTGATCTCACAACTCTGAGATCATGACCTGAGCTGAAATTAAGAATCAACACTTAACCAACTGAGCCACCCTGGCACCCCAGGCATTGACCCTCCTGCCTGCCCAACTGCTTTAAGCAATAAGAAGTGGTAGTGGTCATAAAACGAATAAGCGCTTCAGCATGTACAGTTCAACAAGGTTGTTAGAGCATATAGTTTTGCCTGTTTCCCAAGTCATCTGACTGTCATTTAGTTGCAGACTATTTATTTCCATGGTCTCTGCTTCCACCATCCAGTTATCTGTTGTCTTTGTATGCTGTGATCATTTATCTGCCATCTCCTTTTTAATAGTACTTAATTTTATACTCTGAGCTATTTCCTTCCATTTCTTTTTAAAATAAAAGCTGTAAGTACTTGTGAAAAAAACCCCTCAACAATACAGAAGTGTCTTAACACCTTCCGGTTTGTGAAGTAACAGCTATTTAAAGTTTGGGATTTTGTCAGACCCCTTTATGTACATTTTGTACATTTTTCTCAAATGTACATGCACATACACATGGTTATACATGTGTGTGCTTTATATATATATTTTTATTGTATTCTTAAGTAGAAACCACATCCTACAAGAGTGTCTTTTTTAAACCAAAGGCTAAGATACGTTAGTTGGATGTAGTATTTATGTAGTGCACTGCAAGCAGCATTTAAGGAAAAAAAAAAATGAAAAAATTATTGTACAAAGCAAGGTTAAGTATTTAATTAAAAAAAACTTTTTTAATGTTTATTTTTGAGGGGGGGGGGTGCAGAGAGAGAGGGAGACACAGAATCTGAAGCAGGCTCCAGGCTCCTCTCTGTCAGCACAGAGCCTGATACAGGGCTCGAACCCACAGACTGTGAGATCATGACCTGAGCCTAAGCCGGAAGCTTAACTGACTGAGCCACCCAGGCGCCCCAAGTATCGTTTAATTTTTTATTTTAATTAAATATGTGTGTGTTATGGGTCTCTGTGTATTTTATATTGTGTGTTAATGGTCAAAAATGTTTCAAAATGAAAGCACCTTCATTATTCCTTATGTGATAATTCTTTGTTTCATTTTTTCATTTCCCATGGCATTTGGGGCATATATTTTTTCTGTTAGTATTCCATTGTGTGTAGATGTCTGTATATATACATAAACATATACATAAACATATACAAATACCATAATTCAGCTTTCCCCTATTGGTAGACATTTGAGCTTTTTGATATTATTAGCAATGCAGTAATGAAGATCTTCATTACATAATTTTGTGTGTGTTAGTGTTACTATGGGATTGATACTTGGGATTGTGTCAGAGTATACACACAGTTTGAATTTTGGTCAGTCTTGCTAATTTGCCTTCCAAAAAGAATGCCAGTATGAATTTTTGTTCTCATTGTGTGAAAGTGCTCATTTTTCCCATGCCCTTTCCGTATTGTTGGACTTTTTCATCTTTACATCCGTGTTAGTGGAAATTGGTGTATTCTAGTGTGCATTTCACTAATTACTGGTGAAGGGTATCCTTAATGTATGTTTACTGGCCATTTGAATCTTTCAATTCCCTACTCAATATTTGATCATTGCTTCTTAATCTGTTTTTGAGAGTGTTTTAGATATTGTGGATATTAACTCTTTTGGGTTGTATGGTAGAGTTTTTTATTTGAACTTTTTAACTTATCCAAATTCTACCACTTATATTTAGCAAGAAATAAAAACTAAAAAGTTCTAAATTTTGTGCAGTGTAATCCCTAAACTTAAGCAGAATATATCATCTGACATCAGTGTTCTCTTGTAATCCTGGAGAAAAAAATTAGCTTTGGTGTGGGCAAATTAAGAGCTTTTCAAAGGTAGTTTTGACCCTAGACAGTTTGTGAACCATAAACCTAAGACCCAGGTAAGATGCTTATCCTAATGTCTGTTAGATATTTCTACTAAGTCTTTAAGTTTACTGCTTAATTTTATGGTATCATCATATACAAGTTTATTTTTATGTGGGCAAAGAGCCAAAGAGGCTTCTAGGTCTTGCAGGTTATTATCAGCAGTGCCTTTTCCTATAGTGCAAGTTATAAAATATCATGTAACTTTTTCTGATGCTATCATCTTCTCTTCCCCGATAATGTAATATCTCAGCCTTTTTATTTATTTGAATATGTTCAGTTATCCTTAAACAGTTCTACATCACAGACAACAGATCCTGTTTTTACTGCCATTATATATCCCCCATTCATGCTTTGTATAAACTAAAACCCAAATAAAATCAGTAAATAATTTTACACCCCCAAACCTTAGCAGCACTAGATCATGTAGGAAATAAGAGTTCTGAGAACCAACAAGCATACGCTGTTGGAATTCTTTGATGATCACATCTGATAAAGCAGACTTGAGGCTTTGAGAGCAGTGTGTCTGGAGATGATTGTACATAAACATCCATGTTGATGAACTCTGCATTTCAAGTAGAATAGCACTGTAGCTTTGGGTGATGTCTTTTTGGGGCATTAGCTAAGTGGGGTATTCCTATGCACCTTTTGTTTGGAGTAATGAAGATTCATACTTCTGTCTCAGCAGAAGTAAAATGTCCTGTAACAAATTTTCCTGTAAAATGTATTATTCCTTGACATTTGATATTCCCCACCTCCCATGTGCTCAGACCAAGGAACCCTCATTAAATCAGGGGTGTATACGTTTCTGATTTGACAGTGATATAAAGTATCATTGTCACTATCTATAATATGCCATTTTCTTGGTAGTTAGTAATATTGCTATTTTTTTTTTTTTAATGTTTATTTTTGAGAAAGAGAGAGCATGAGCTGGGGAGGGGCAGAGAGAGGGAGACACAGACTCCAAAGCCAGCTCCAGGCCCTGAGCTGTCAGCACAGAGCCTGATGCAGGGCTCGAACCCACGAACCATGAGACCATGACCTGAGCTGAATTCAAATGCTTCTTAACTGACTGAGCCACCCAGGTGCCCTGGTAGTTCGTAATATTAAGATATTTTAGTTCTTGGGGTGCCTGGGTGTCTCAGTCGGTTAAGCACCCAACTCTTGGTTGTGGCCCCAGGTCGTGATCTCACGGTTCATGAGTTAGAGCTCCACATAGGGCTCTATGCTGATGGTGTGGACCTGCTTGGGATTCTCTCCCTCTCTTCTGCCCCTTCTGCTTGCTCGTTCTCTCTCAAAATAAATAAATAAACTTTAAAAGATTTCCAAAAAAAAGGAGATTTTAGTTCTTAAAATTTTCCATGAAGTAGTAAGTTTAGGGTGCATCTAGTAAAGTTTATTGTAATGCTAAGGTATACACAGAAAAATTTACCCAAAGCTAATAGATACCATAGATAAAATTAACTTCTAATCTCAAAAGGAATATAACCATTTTCACTTTTTTTCTTGAGCATCCTTGGAGTTTCTAGGGCCACTATTACAACATGGTGCCCCCCATATATCTGCTTTATGACTCCTACAACTAATTGTAAATATAGCGCATTTCATAAATTGACATTATTTTCCAGAATGTCCCTCAACCTGTGGACTCTTAGGAAGTCCTTTTTATTAAGCATAAAAAGCCATTTATGTAATATGAGCTAGATCTAGATAAAATATTTATTTTTCTATTGACAAATTGCAGCAGTATGCAGGCAGGTCAATTTATGATAGTCTCTTTCCAGGTGACCTGAACCTCCCAGTGCCTTTTTTATTCTTTTATTGGTTATTGAAATACAGTGATTTTTAGACTGTTTCATGGTTCTTCATCCAGGGCTCCTACAAAGGTGAAGGAAATGCATACCCATCCAGATGAGAAATTTTTGTCTATTTTATATATTCATTTTTCTTCTAGGTTTTTGTTCATTGGTAAGGAGGTATTTGCTACCTGGAAAAATAAAGAATTCTGAAATTTGTGCTGTAAAGTATGTCTTTCAAGGAAGTAAATTCAGGTTTTCTGTTAATTTTCACCAATTTCTGATGGTTTGGGATTTTAAAAGAAGCCATTCCCTATTCCAAAGCTGTAGCAAAGGGATTGTCTTCTTGTTACTAATTAGACAGGGAATGTTTTGTCCATTCAGTAGTTACCCTCACTAATTTATTTTGTATGGATTCTCTGAGTATAAACTTCCTAGCCTTTTTTTGATTGCAATCTCAAAACAATTTGTATTCAGTATTTTAGATCTCTAAGTATTGTATTTCTGAAGTGGTTTTTTTCTCTCTCAAGATGCATTGATGGCGTTAAAAGGAACTTTAGATCTTCCAAATTTCCAATAACTTTTTGAGGAGGAGGAGATGGAAATTTTAAAAAAATTTAATGCCAATAGATCATTCTAAATAAATTCTCCCCAGTTTCACTGCTGAGAACAAGATCCATAAGCAAGATTCATTAGACTTTAAAACCTAAGTTTCTGCAGTGGTTTCCCCTTGGAGAAAATAAGTTCTACTCCCTCCAGTCTGATTTATGATGAAACTTGAGACTGTTTAGTAACCTCATCACAAAGCATTTAGCTTTTTATAAAACAAAACGTTTGTCTTGGTGTAAAGTAGTTTTCATGAGATGGTACACTTGAAAGTACTGCTTTTTGCTCCTCACAGATGTATTGGATTTGGTTTTCTGTAGTTTAGCCTGTATGTTAGTCAAAAAGATGACATTGTGATTGGTTCAGCTGCATATTTTGATTTGCAAATATTGATATTTAAAAATTGATTATTTTTTAATTCTTTCAAACTTCGTGTTACTATAGTGTAGTAAAGAACCCTGGTTGTATTCAGATGCACCAAGATTTGAACCTCAGTTTCACCATCTACAACATTTGTGACAATTGAGCTAATTACTAAACACTTAGTTTTCTCATCTATAAAATGCAGATAATATGTCCTATTTCAGGCTTAGGAGGATTAAGTGAGGTACTAGCTAATATTTAATGAATATTAGTATCTACCAGTCCTCTTTTAAATGCTTAGTATGTGTTTATTCATTTTAACCTTAGGATAAATATCTAAGCTATGTATTATTATCTCATGTTATAGTTGAAGAATCCGAAGCACAGAGAAGTTAAGTGTTTTGCCTATGATGTATATAATGTTCTTAGCACAGTGCCTGGCATATAGTTAGCATTGACTGTATTAGCTCTTTTGTTGAAATGAGTGGTCATTATGAAGTTTCCAAATGTATTATATTTTTAAGTAACTGACCTCTGGTATAACATTCAAAGGATCTCCTGTGGCGCTTTTTCTTTCCTCTTGTCTCCGTAGCTCTTGGTGCTGGACAGGCATCTTTGTTTGGGAACAGCCAACCTAAGATCGGAGGGCCTCTTGGTACAGGAGCCTTTGGGGCCCCTGGATTTAATACTACGACAGCTACTTTGGGCTTTGGAGCCCCCCAGGCCCCAGTAGGTAAGTGTCAGTCACTTTAGAAGGCTTTACTCAGTTGTATTTCTTGCTAATACTTAACTTGTTGACCTCATTTTCCACCCATTCCATCCCCCTACCAAAGCAGTACACAAACACACTTAAACAGTCATGTAGTACAGAAGGGTTTGTAACGGATCTTGGCCTTCTCCACTTCCCCACTCCTAGGCTTAGTCCCCCAAAGAAACCACTTTGTTACAGTCACTTTGTTTCCTGGTGTATAGTTAAGTTCATATCTCTAAATGATGTGCTTATGTTGATATGTTTTGCTTTATTAAGTTTTAATTTAACTTATTAATAGTAGATGAGAAATTTAGCTCACTTATCCTCTGTGTTCTTTATTCATTTCTAACATAGCTGTATTACTAAATTCCCTAAGTTTAGTTTTGTCTCCTGAAGTGTTTTTCATACTTACTCATTTGAACAGCCTTACCCAGTTTTTGCCCCCTCTGCCTACCACCTTTATTATTATTATTTTCTAACTTAAAATGAACTTTTTAGCTTAAATAGCTTTTTAAAAGAAAGCTGTTCTGTTGGAAATAAACATACCACCTGGCATACATAGGGTAACTGAGTGAATGAATGAGACAGAATGAAAGTAAGTCTCTTTACCATTAAGTTCATCTCCTGTACTATCATGACCCGTGTACCACATTTTGATAAGGCTTTTGCAAATTTAAGCTGTGTCCCTACATTGTTTTTCTTATTCTATCACCTGAGAGACAGTATTTCTTGAGTTCTCTTGGTCAAGGAAGAGTATTAGTGCCTTTTCTCACCCTTCTTTTTCCTCTTCTTTTGTCATGTTTATATTTTCATATTGATAACATTGATAATGTATTCTGTCCTATAGTTATTAATTTTTTCTTAGATTAAAGAATAAAAGTTTTAATGTGAGCGTAGCATTTTATTACAACTATGAAAACACTGCTGCCCAGCCAAGTACACCTTTCTCATACAGCTTTTTCTTTCTCCTAGAATTTCTTTTTTCCCTTTGCATTACCAGCCCTTATCACCTTCCTGAACCAGTCCAAATTCTTAAGGTTTCAGAATTCTTTTTTACTCTGAACACATCATTCCTTGATCCCTCTGTTCTCCTGTAGAAGTATGAACTCTGATTATTCCCTGGGCCTTCAGCATTGCTCCTGATACTCCCTTCAAGTTTACTCAGTGAGAACTGTTCTGTCCTGAATGTAGGGTTTTCCTCTTTATTTCCTGGAATGTATTTTTAAGTAAATTACATATGAAAGATAAACTTTGATCACTTACAATTCTGACAGTACAGAACCTTTTTTGTTCCTCACGCTTTAATATTATGGAATTCTGTGAAAATAATTTATCCTCAGAACTTGGACTATATTCCTTTCATTAACCATTATTTGTTGAGAAGTCTAATGCCTTTCTGATTCTTGAGACTTGTTCCATTCCCCACAAGGACTTAGGATTGTCTCTTTGTTCGGAAATGTCACTGAATTGCTTATACCTTTTCTATCTTAATTGTTAATTTTTTTCTTTTTCTTTTTTTTAAAGAGAGAGAGCGCACGAGCTGGTTATAAGGGCAGAGAGAGAGAATCTTAAGCAGGCTCCATGCTCAGTGAGGAGCCCAATCATGACCGCCAAAATCAAGAGTCAGACGCACAATCTACCTAACCACCCAGGCGCCCCTCTACGTTAATGCTTGATTTTTAAACTGTGTTTCTATTTTTTTAGATTTTTTATTGTCTTCTAAATCATTTTATTTATTTTGAGAGAGACAAAGAGAGTGTGAGGGGCAGAGAGAGAGAGAGAATGCCAAGCAGGCTCTCTGCTGCCAGTGCAGAGCCCGATGGGGGGCTTGATCTCAATAACCATGAGATAATGACCTGAGCTAAGTCAAGAGTCAGACACTTAACTGACTGAGCCACCCAGGCATCCTGAATTTTTATTTTTAACTTACATGAATTCTTTCTCATTCTTCGAAACTTCTTTTTTTTAAGTATCCTGTTCTTAGATGCCATTATTTCTTGAAACTTTGAATTTGTTAATTGGCATTAAAAATTTTTTTAGGACTCTTCTGTGCCTTACCTCTTCAGGGTTATTTTTGCTTTGGTCTTATTCTTTAATGCTCCGTGATCCTTACCATTTAAGAATAAAATAATAAAAAGCTTATTGGCAACTTATGTATATGGGTAGAGCTTGTTTACCAGTAAGCTTCACTTTAAGGTGCGTAGTCCAGAAACCAGCTATTGTCCAAGGGTCCCCTGATGATTAGAATGCCACATTCTTAGCTCTGGGATGATGCAAGTACTGAAACTAGTTGCCCTTGTTCTTTCCAAGTATTAACTTTGTTTCATCAGAGGCAAACTCTCTGATGTTTGGCTTATCTGTTAAGCATCAGGGATTAGGAGGATGAAGGTATAGGTGTTTTGTACATGTACTTTACATTGATTTATCTCTCCTGCTTTCAGTCTCACTTCATCAAACTTGGTGTCATTGAATCCCTAATCTTTCTGGGATTCTCCAGGGCAGATAAGCTCTACGTTGGGCTGTAATCCCCTATGAATGTACTCTAAACGTAGTTCGCTGTATCCTGCTTTGTCACTCCTCTGTCCACTTCTTTCCCCTAGAAATTTGTTATATTTTATCAAATGCTCATTTGTTACTTCCCATTCTTTGTTGGTGTGGGTTATATAGATACATTTTAATTTGTTTTAAACATAGATTTTACTTAGATCTTTGGAAGTAGTGGAGGTGAATTAGAATTCCAGTTGACCTCCGGGTGCCTGGGTGGCTCAGTCAGTTAAGCGTCTGACCCTGTTTCGGCTCAGGCCATGATCTCACAGTTCATGGGTTTGAGACCCGCATCGGGCTTTGCACTGGCAGCAGGGAGTCTGCTTGGTATTCTCTCCTTCTCTTCCCTCTGTCCCTCCCCCATGCATGCACGTGTACTTGCTCTCTCAAAAATAAATAAATACAAACTTTAAAAAAATAAAATAGGGCGCCTGGGTGCCTCTTCTGGTTAAGCATCTGACTCTTGATTTCAGCTCAGGTTGTGATTTCACAGTTGTGAGATCCCCATGTCATGCTCTGTGCTGGGTGTGGAGCCTGCTTAAGATTCTCCTTCTCCCTCTGCCCCTCCCCCACTTGTGTGTGCAGGCACTCTTCTTTCTCTCTTAAAAAAAAAAATCAGCTTTATCATTAAAAGTGATATTTTCAGTTTTATTTCTTTTCCTTAGTTTTAGTTGTTTTCACTAGAAAGGGTACCATACATATTTGTAACCTGCCATTTTTACTTGGATAGTACTGTGTTTTGAATGGTTTTTGATAATCCATCTTCTAAAATCAATTAAAAGGTCCTGACACAAGCATTTAATAGTATAGTTACATGTAGTAGTGTCACCACAAACTTAAAAGTAGTTATGTTGACTTTTAGAATGTACATCTTTGCATCACAGGACACTTAACTGTAAGGTGCTTTAGAGTTTATATGAGTCTGAGTCCACTCTTAACAGTGGGAGTCCCTCAGTTACAGTTTTCCAAATCAGTCTAGTCCATTGTTTTGTTCAGGTTGTTTAGAAATCAAAACATGCCTCCGTAGAATTTCCACTCAGTGGTTCTAAGCTAAGCAAACCAGTTCGTTACAGTTTTTCTTGCAGTAACCCTGTTGTCTTTCTTCAAGGTAAAGTATCATCAGTTTTTTCTATTCTCAGACTTTGATTTTATACCTTTTCCTATCCCTTTAGTCATTTGGTCATGATGAGTCTTCTCAGTATGTTGTCAAATTATTGTGACCAGAATTGAATATTTATAACACAAATGGTAGCTTAACAAATGCTTACATGCTTGTGAGTTCTCTTATTTTTGGTAACATATTAGCTCTCTTGTCTGTATATGTAAATCATACAGTTAACTTAGAGAAGATTTCATATTTAAACCTACAAAAATAAAAATATCCTCACACACTTTCCTAATTATGTTTAGATTTGTTAAAGGAGTTCTTACTCTTTTGAGTAAGCCCAGGTGGGGTGAACTATTATACTTGTTAATGATGGGATGAGCTGGTGCAGGTCAACATTATTTTTAATGGATAATTGGCTGTCAAATACCAAACTTGACTAGTGAATATTAGAATTCTTCTAAATTTTTTAACGTTTATTTATTTATTTAAAAATTTTTTTTAACATTTATTTATTTTTGAGACAGAGAGAGACAGAGCATGAACGGGGGAGGGTCAGAGAGAGAGAGAGACACACACAGAATCTGAAACAGGCTCCAGGCTCTGAGCTGTCAGCACAGAGCCCGACGCGGGGCTTGAACTCACGAACCTCGAGATCATGACCTGAGCCGAAGTCAGACGCTTAACCGACTGAGCCACCCAGGCGCCCCTAGAGTTCTTTTAAAAACATCCAGGTTTTCTTGAATTTCCTTGAATAGTCCACAGAATAACACTGTGCTGTTATTGTGTGGTACTGTGTACCAAAACTGCTTTTCTAAATCTTTTCCCTGCTGATGGTCTTAAATTGGATTTAGGAACTTTCCAGTACAGATGATTTATTATATGCTCTTAAAATGGACATCTCCTCTGGGTTTCACAATCTTGAGCAAACTTGCATTCTCTGCTGATATATTAGTATACAGTGTTTTAGTATTTAATTGATAAATCTGATTTTAAAAAAGCTTAATTTGACTAAGGTGGATCTACCCCTTTTTCATTAATTTAGCTTTAGCTGTCCTGGATTTGTTGTTGCTGCTGCTGCTGTGGTTTTTTCCTCTATTATGAGTACTAAAATTCTCCAAATGTTTTGTTTGCGGCACTTCTTTAATGTGGATTACCTAATATAATTTGGTGTTAGCCGTATTTTAAACATTTATAAAGGAAAAAAGTATTTTTATCTCTAAGATGACTTAAGTATGATTTGACTTTTTATCAGTATTTTTGAAAATACTAATTTTGTAAAGCAGTTTCTTCATCAATCAAGATATAGTACCGATAGTTGTGGGGTTTGTTTTGTTTTTACTGTGTATGATTATAGATTATCATTCCTTGTCTGTTCCCTGAATTCTCTGTGACTAATGACATGTTTTTACACTTAGAAAATTAGATTAATTGGAGTGATACTTTTTCTTTCAATTTACTTGAATGTAATAGGAATATTAAATGTAAATAATAAACATATAAGGACACCTTAGCAACTATCTTCATTTTTTATATGCCACTTTCTTCCTCTAGTCTTAGTTATTCTGCAATTTTTACTTATTAAATCAAAGATGTTTCCTTATTTCCACAGTGAAACACATTGTCATTATTTTTAATACCTACTTAACCCACCATGTTGATGTGTCATGATTTTTACAGCTGTTAATGTTGGACATAGGTTGTTCCCAAGTCTTAACTATAACAGATAATATTCATCACTTACAAACATTTCTTTATTTTGTTTCTAGTTTAATGAAGTCCTTGGGTTAAATTTCCATGATGGAAACAAGTAGGTTAAAAAACATAAAAACAGTACTTGTTTTATGTACTGTCATACCGTTTCTTTTAGACAGAGTAAACCAATTTGTAATGTTTCTAGAAGTCAAAGACTGTAACTCTTTCTATACAGCTGTGGCACTGATAGATAATGACGTAGGTATAATGTATTTTTTCAGGGTTGTTTTAAATTTTATTTCATTGATTATTGACAGTGAACACTTAAGTAAAAATTTTTGTGTGTTATCTCTTATGAAATGTCTCTTCATATCTTTGACCCATTAGTTTTTTGATTGTTGGTTTTCTTCACAGTTTGCTCCTCTGCTTCCCACCAATAATGCTGTTGAGTGAGTCTGAATGTTTTGAAGGTGTTTCCAAAACAGTTGTATTCTCTTGCTATAAATGCATTGGATCCTTGGACTGATAATCTTGCTTTTTCTTTTCTTTTTTTAAAAAAGCTTTGACAGATCCCAATGCTTCTGCTGCCCAGCAAGCTGTTCTCCAGCAGCATATCAATAGTCTAACATACTCACCTTTTGGAGATTCTCCTCTCTTCCGGAATCCCATGTCAGACCCTAAAAAGAAAGAAGAGGTAAATTTAAGGATGCTTTTATAAAGTTTATTCTCAGGTTAGGAGAAACTAGCTGTGTAGAATGTAATTTCTTACATATATAGCCTAAGCAAAGCTAGGTGTAGTTAAGTTTTTAAGACACATTATGCTTTTTTCTGGGCAAAAAATTATGTTTGGAATTATTATTATCTGGAGGGCAGCATGGCAGTGAAATGAACACTGGACTGGAGATGAGGGCTGAGACTTTCAATAGCTCTGAACTAAGGCATGTATTATTATTCCCATTTTATAGTTGAGCAAACCTAAGGCTCAGAGAGGCTGATTTTCCTAAAATAATGCTGTTAAGTGGCACATCAATATCTTTTCTCCTGGTTTCTGCAGTTAACTTTGTCTTAATCTTTTATGCTCTAGTGTCAAAGTAATAATCTTTTGCTCACTGTGGTGTGGTGTTAAAAGTAGTCTTTGGTCTGTTTGATCATTGTGTTACCATGTACAACTGATGAGACCTTGAGCATGTTATTTTGCCTCTGAATGTGTTTCCTCATCTGTAAAATGGGAATGGTAATACTGTTTAGTGTTCAGAATTAAATGAGATGATGCATACCTGGCTTATAGTAAGTTGATCAGTCTATAGCTCTTCAATCATTTCTGTCATCTTATTTCTCCCTCAGCTGGCTATTGAATTAACCTTGGTTTTTTTTTTTTTTTTAATTTTTTTTTTTAATGTTTTTATTTATTTTGGGGACAGAGAGAGACAGAGCACGAGTGGGTTAGGGGCAGAGAGAGAGGGAGACAGAATCTGAAGCAGGCTCCAGGCTCTGAGCCGTCAGCACAGACCCTGACACAGGGCTCGAACTCAGGGACTGTGAGATCATGACCTGAGCTGAAGTTGGACACTCAACCAACTGAGCCACCCAGGCGCCCCTTGAATTAACCTTGTAACTAGATATAATGAGAAGATAGGAACTTAAAGTGCTTTTTAACACGCTGTGTAAATGTAAGTTGTGCTTAGATGAACATTGTGTGTTAGGGGCGCAGCATAATTTTAGGCCTAAACATGTGCTGGTCACTGTGTTCAGTACTGAGGATACAAAATGAAAGCAAGAACTTATTCTCTGAGAACTTACTATTTAGTGAGGAAGATCAGATCTGTTAAGGTGTTTAAATTTACTCAAGCTCAATATAGTATATACAGTCAGCTGATGAATGGATAAACAAAATGTTGTAGATCTATATGATGAATATCATTCAGTCATAAAAAGGAATGAAGTACTGATACATACATACTGTGTATGACATGGATGGACCTTGAAAACATGCTAGGTGAAATAAACCAGACACAAGAGGCCACATGATTCCATTTATATAAAATGCCTAGAATAGGCAAATTTATACAGACAGAATAGATTCATGTTTGCTGAGTTTTAAGGGCTGGAATCGGGAGGCACAGCATTTCTTTTTGGGGTGAGGGGAATGTTTTGGACTTAGATATTGGTGGTTCTTGCACAACTTATTAAATAGACTAAAACCCACTGGATTGTATGCATTAAAATGGTAAATTTTATGTTAAAGAAGAGTATTTAAAGTTTGATAAGGCTTTGCAAAAGAGGTCACATTTAACTTTTTTTGAGTATGTATGTAGAAGTTGGTAGGTCTAAGTCAAGACATTCCAAGCAAAGGCACACAATTGTGAAATATCACAAAAAATATCTAGAAAGGTTCACTGTTGCAGACAGTTTCACACTGGTGCAAACAATTTACACTGTGACAAGAACAATGAATTGTGACAGGTTTTATATGTTAGACATTGTTGTTTCAAGTGGTTGTATAATCCCATGTATAATGTTTAGGAAAACAAATATAAAACATCCCGAAGATGCTATAGAAGCATAATAAAGGTGCCATCAAAATCAACTTGAAGTGGTTTTTTTTGTTTGCTTAATTTAATGTTTATTTAGTTTTTGAAAGAGTGTGCGTGCACAAGCTGGGGAGGGGCAGAGAGAGAGCGGGAGACACAGAATCTGAAGCAGGCTACAGGCTCAGCACAGGGCTCAGACTCACAGACTGCGAGCTTATGCCTGAGCTGAGGTCAGACGCTTAACTGATTAAGCCACCCAGGCATCCCTGAAGTCTTAATTTAGTTGTGTCTCTTCCACTAACTTGTAATTTCCTCAAAAATCAGGGGAAGTGATTTTATTATTTTTATTGTGAGTGCTTAGTGTTTGACTCATGGCAATTAGCAGTGTTTACTAAATGATGAATAAATGAAAGCTATTATTTTTTCAGAGTGATTTGGATTGCGTGGAAGTTGAATAGCAATTCATGGGCACATCTCAGTTTATTTTGAAGTGTGACATTTTTGGTTTAGTTGAAAAATAAACAGAGGTATCTAGTTGGGTGACTGGCAGATAGGAGATTTGAACTCTATTCTTACAAGTTTTTTAAGGCCAAAACAATGCCTTTGAATTAAACTAGAACTGTCCTTGATGGTTTTGTTTTTCAGAGATTGAAACCAACAAATCCAGCAGCCCAGAAGGCTCTCACTACACCCACTCATTATAAACTAACACCCCGTCCTGCCACCAGAGTTCGACCAAAGGCTTTACAGACAACAGGCACAGCGAAGTCCCATCTGTTTGATGGGCTGGATGATGATGAGCCATCCTTAGCCAATGGAGCATTCATGCCTAAGTGAGTTTACTTTTGTCAGCATAAATTAAGTGTGAATATTAATTTAAACTAAGTACAAAATAATATATAATTATTTACCTGAATGTAATAGAAATGTTGTGTTTAGGTTTTTGTTTTTAACTTGAAAAATAGAGAACATTACAGATAATAAAAGTGACCTGATCATTCCTAAGGGTGACCATGGTTAACATAAAAATATTTAGATTAATATGTTTCTAGTTTTACATATGCATGTTTTTTGTTTTATTTTGAGAATTTAGTCCTTGCATAATTTTATTTTTTTTATTTAAAAAAAAAATTTTTTTTTAACGTTTATTTATTTTTGAGACAGAGAGAGACAGAGCATGAACAGGGGAGGGTCAGAGAGAGGGAGACACAGAATCTGAAACAGGCTCCAGGCTCT